GTCTGTCCAGGACTGACAGGATCTCTCCCAGCTGATCAGCTGTCAGCTGAGTGAGACTGAGATCTGAAACTGGGATGCTGCATTTCAAAGAGAGGATTTCTAGAAACTCATCACTGCCTGATTCATAGTCAGTCTCAAACTCATCCAGATGCAGAGTTTGAACCGTTTGCTTGGACTGATGTTCTGCAAAGTGGCTGCTCCATTGTTTCTCATGCTGCTCTTGATGGTGTGACTCCTGTAGTATTTTATTTAATTGTTCTTGTCGCTCCTCCTCTCTCCTCTTTTGCTCCTCCTCTCTCTTCCTCTCTGCTTCTCTCCTCCTCTGCTCTTCTTTCCTGGTTTCCTCCTGATCTCTGATTGGCTTATTGAAGCAATTTTCACACTCGCACACCCAAACATTGCCATCTCGTCTGATGTATTGACCTCCAAGACACACATGTTTGTCCCGCTCATGAATAACTTTGATGAACTCCAAGAAGCTGATTGGGGGCAGGGCTTTATTGCACTTGCAACATCTGTGGCTGTTACGTTCTCTTGGTTGTTCGTTTCCCATTTTTGATGATTTATTTAATTATTAAGTCGTTGTTCTCATGTGCAGTCTGTGTTTACCTGAAAGAAAGAAAAAAAATTTGAATGACTTTATGGTATAACAACTAACTCAATAAAGGAACCCCTTCTTCCTTGTTTTTTTAATGAAAAAAAAAAAAATTAAGTTCCTGTTGCACACTTGTGGGTACCGTCAATGGTGGTCAGTGTTTTAGGGTGATGAAATGTCATTATTAATCATTTTTCTGTCACTGGTGGACATACCATCAGAATTTCAAGACAGAGACATCAGCTCACGAAGCTTAACATCTATACATAGGCTAAATATACAACCAGTTTCTCAACACACAAAGCTGAAATCATCAATCTTAACAGTTCATGTTTTTGTGCGACTCATTTTGCTGTTCACAATCGCAGGACGTATCATAGCTGTGATGACTAAATGAAGATATATTAAATTAATAGGGCCTAAGTAGATGTACTAGTGCATCTCAAAAATTTAGAACAATGTGAAAAAGTTTGTTATTCTCTTATTACTTTTTACAGGTAAAGTGAAACATTTCAAGCGTTATTTTTTTGGTTGCTTGTTAGTTTTTTTCTGTTTTGTTTTGATGATTATGACTTACAGCTCATTAACATCAGAAATCCAATATTCCTTTTGAACAAATTACTATTCAAACTTTATGGAGGTGACAGTTTTCTTTACCAACAGGACTCAACACCTGCTCACAGTGCCGCTTCGTACATTAGAGAGGGCTCTGCAACAGGTGGTGAAAACTGCCCAGCGCATCACAGAGACTCCACTCACAGGCATTCAGGGCCTATACAGGAAACGCTGCCTGTATCGAGATCACAGCATCCTCAAAGATTGTGGACAATTCCATGCTTCCAACTTCATGGGAACAGTTTGGAGATGGCCCTTTCCTCTTCCAGGATGACTGTGCATCAGTGCACAAAGCAACGTCCATAAAGACATGGATGAGAGTTTGGTGTGGAAGAACTTGACCTGCCTGCACAGAGTCCTGACCTCAACCCGATAGAACACGTTTGGGATGAACTAGAGCGGAGACTGAGAGCCAGGCCTTCTGGTCTAACATCAGTGTGTGACCTCACAAATGTGCTTCTGGAAGAATGGTCAGAAATCCCCACAAACACACTCCTAAACCTTGTGGACAGTCTTCCCAGAAGAGTTGAAGCTGTTATAGCTGCAAAGGGTGGACTAACGTCATATTAAACTTTATGGATTAAGAATGGGATGTCACTCGACTTGAACTCTTTCTTCCAGAAAGTAGAACTACCCCAACTCCCTTCTGAGGAAAAGGCTAGCTTGGACACTCCTATAACGGAAACTGAAGTTAGATTTGCAATTAAGAGTATGAAACCTGGGAAGTCACCTGGTGTAGATGGCTTCCCGGTGGAATATTATAGGAAGTATGTAGATATTCTTTGTCCGTTTATTACAGAAGTTTTTCAAGAAGCGTTTCAATATGGTTCACTTCCAGAAAGTTTTAACGAAGCTATCATATCACTGATACCAAAAAAAGACAAGGATGTAACAGATCCAGCCAATTATAGACCCATAAGCCTGATAAATGTCGATTGCAAAATATTGTCCAAAACATTAGCGCTACGGTTAGATAAGGTTTTGCCTAAAATTATTCACAAAGACCAAGTGGGATTTATAAAAAATAGATCTTCAGCTGACAACATGAGGAGACTACTGCATTTAATGTGGATGAATAGAACTAGCCCTCACCCTGTTNTTCTATTGGATTGAGATCAGGGCTTTGTGATGGCCAACTGACCTAAAACAGCAAAAGTTTAGTCTCATTTAATGTCAGATAGTGAAGTAAAAAAAGGTTGTGTCTCGTCATACGGGGTATGTAAACTTCTGGTTTCAACTGTACATATGATTTATTTAATATGGTTTTACAGGTAATCTTACCTTTTCATTTTAGAAGGTTGCAGACTTGGTTCCGGTGTGGATCGTTGTTATCATTGTAGCTCTTGTTGTTGAACCATGAAGTAATGGTGGTAAGATCATTATTTGTCATGACATTCTTGCCTTGAAGTCGATTGAACCAGTATTTTCTCAGAGTTGGACTATGTTGCGGAAAACTGCTCTCAAAGATGGCAAATCGGGTTTTACTCTTCTTGGTGTTCTGAAAGTTCTTAAAGTTCTTGGTGTTATTCAGATTGGATCTCACCATAGAGCCAAGGACCATCAGCTTGAAGGTGCCTACAACATCATCCTTGCTTATGGTTTCAGCTAAACACATTCTGAAGGCTTTTGATGTTGTACTGAGAAACTCACGATGTATTTCTTGAGGTACACAAACAGTTGGAAGTTCACGGCCATGATGTTTGTGCACATCAGGAATCAGACTGGGATTCAGAGGAGATGAGTTTGTTGCAACTTCAAGCATGGCTTTTGCTAATTTGCTATCTGGGTTCATTTTTTGAGCTTCCAGTATACTGCTGACTGGTGGCTGGTGATCTGCATTGAGGAACTGTCCAATTCCCGGATTTTTTTTGGCATGTTGTTGCCATTGTTTGTACGTTTGTACTTTTCCAACTTCTTTCTTAAGTACCTCTTTGGTCTCTTTTATTGGTGGTGCAGCTCCCTCTGCCAAGTACCAGTCCCCTCCTCTGATTTTTTCAGTCCACTCTTTGCGTTTGATGAAAGGGTCCCATTGGCCTGGGTGTCTGAGGAGAGCGTCGACCTCCACTGATCGAAGACGGTCTGCTTCCAAAGAGATTTCATCTTCACTGGCCTGTGGTTTCATGCCTCGTGCCAAAGCATCAAACAGGCAACTCTTGTCCTTGCTGACTATCTTCACTGTCTGGCCATTGATGCGCACATCATAATGGCCGGCAGGGTATTGGGCACTCTTTGGTCTGTAGATCAGTGTCACAGTTTGACTGGCGGGTTTAGTGCTTGGGCTCAACTCCTGCATTTTGGTAAGTTTGCCATGGCTATCCTCTGTGAGAATGACAACCTTAGTGCCTTTGGCTTCTGCCAGGACTCTGATATCAAGAATGGTGCCTGCAGTCGTGTTGTTCTTGATCTTTTCAGCATGTGACTGTGAGTGTTGACCTGTCTCTCCTGTAAGTTCATGTTCAGAATTCCGGCTTCCTGGCATGTATGAGATGTATCTGTTATTCTGTCCAGCTCTGAGTTTTTCCATTGTTCTGTCAATCTTTAAAGCAGTTCCTACAAAATGGCCAATGGCGCCATTTAACTTACCTTGAACATAAGAAATGACGTGACTGGAGAACTTCTGGTGGAACACTTCCACTAAAGCATCGGCCAATAAAGTACTGATGATGTCAGCAACATCCTGCTTGAATTCTTTCAGCATCTCAACGTCTGAGACAGACAGCTCATTTACCTTGACTTTCTCTGAAGAAGCCTTTTTTTCTTTAAATATATTCAGCTGCCTGTGAAGCTTTGAGAAAAACTTGCTGGAAAGAGTGAGCACTGCATGGGTGGCTTCTCCTGCCAGTGCCGCCATGTGGACAACTTGAATGGCTGTCAGAATTCCATAAGCTTTGCCATCACTTCCTGCTTTGGCACTGTTAATCACGCTGGAAAAGGTTGAGTTAAGCCTATTCTGCCAGTCAAGGTCTGCATAGAATGTCTGTGCTGCAGCGCTGCTCAGTGTTTTGAAAATGGCCAGCAGGTCACTCTTTCTGTCCTTGTCCTTTAAGAGATCATGAAGTTGTTCTTTATCTTCAATGTGTGAGAGGACAATAGAGTCTACTAATGCAGTTATGGGTTCCTTTTCCATGTCGGATTTCACGTTTTCAGCAATTCCACTTTCAATCTTCTTTTTGACATTTTTTAGTATTTCGCTCAGTATTTTCTTTTCTGCCACACCAAGTCCATAGACAATGACTTCTTCTGCAACTTTTTTAGCAGTGTAGTATGCTACATTCTTCATATTTGTCTTCATGACAGCACTTAAACCATCTTTAGCTTGTCTGGAGAGAAACTTTGACATTGGCTTCAGCTGTTTCCCAAATCCTTTAATTAACATTTTAGAGGCTTTGAAGCCCTTTGCAATCAACTTTCCAACGCCAAACCCAATGAGAGATACACCAATAGAAATGGCTTTTCCAATTGCCCATGATTTCCAGCTGAATTCTCCCGTCACCATGGCCTCAATACCAGAGATGCAGTCTGATATTCCTTCAGTGATGAGACCCATGCCGACTTGAGCTAATGTGCCAAATGTAAATGCAGTGACCAATGCTCCTCCAATAATCTGTAAAATTCCAAGACAGAACACAAGCAGACCTTCCCATGAGAAACGAGGCTTCTCTTCCACAGAAAATACATATTTCAGACCTCGACTGTAGAGGTTGTAGGCTTCCTCTTGAAGATCTTCATCAGTANTGTAGTATTTTATTTAATTGTTCTTGTCGCTCCTCTTCTCTCCTCTTTTGCTCCTCCTCTCTCTTCCTCTCTGCTTCTCTCCTCCTCTGCTCTTCTTTCCTGGTTTCCTCCTGAACTCTGATTGGCTCCTTGAAGCAATTTTCACACTCCCACACCCAAACATTGCCATCTCGTCTGATGTATTGACCTCCAAGACACACATGTTTGTCCCGCTCATGAATAACTTTGATGAACTCCAAGAAGCTGATTGGGGGCAGGGCTTTATTGCACTTGCAACATCTGTGGCTGATATCTTCTCTTGGTTGTTCGTTTCCCATTTTTGATGATTTATTTAGTTATTAAGTCGTTGTTTTCATGTGCAGTCTGTGTTTACCTGAAAGAAAGAAAAAAAATTTGAATGACTTTATGGTATAACAACTAACTCATTAAAGGAACCCCTTCTTCCTTGTTTTTTTAATGAAAAAAATAAAAAATCTAAGTTCCTGTTGCACACTTGTGGGTACCTTCAATATTGGTCAGTGTTTTGGGGCGATGAAATGCATTGTCATTATTACTTATTATTCTGTCACTGGTGGGCATAATGGATCAGAATTTCAAGACAGAGACATCAGCTCACAAAGCTTTACATCATATACATAGGCTAAATATACAACCAGTTTCTCAACACACAAAGCTGAAATCATCAATCTTAACAGTTCATGTTTTTGTGCGACTCATTTTGCTGATCACAATCGCAGGACGTATCATAGCTGTGATGACTAAATGAAGATATATTAAATTAATAGGGCCTAAGTTGATGTACTAGTGCATCTCAAAAATTTAGACGATGTGAAAAAGGTTGTTATTCTCATATTACTTATTACAGGTAAAGTGAAACATATCAAGCGTTATTTTTTTGGTTGTTTGTTAGTTTTTTTCTGTTTTGTTTTGATGATTATGACTTACAGCTCATTAACATCAGAAATCCAATATTCCTTTTGAACAAATTGCTATTCAAACTTTATGGAGATGACAGTTTTCTTTACCAACAGGACTCAACACCTGCTCACAGTGCCGCTTCGTACATTAGAGAGGGCTCTGCAACAGGTGGTGAAAACTGCCCAGCGCATCACAGAGACTCCACTCACAGGCATTCAGGGCCTATACAGGAAACGCTGCCTGTATCGAGATCACAGCATCCTCAAAGATTGTGGACAATTCCATGCTTCCAATTTCGTGGGAACAGTTTGGAGATGGCCCCTTCCTCTTCCAGGATGACTGTGCATCAGTGCACAAAGCAACGTCCATAAAGACATGGATGAGAGAGTTTGGTTTGGAAGAACTTGACCTGCCTGCACAGAGTCCTGACCTCAACCCGATAGAACACGTTTGGGATGAATTAGAGCGGAGACTGAGAACCAGGCCTTCTCGTCTAACATCAGTGTGTGACCTCACAAATGCGCTTCTGGAAGAATGGTCAGAAATCCCCAAAAACACACTCCTAAACCTTGTGGACAGTCTTCCCAGAAGAGTTGAAGCTGTTATAGCTGCAAAGGGTGGACTAACGTCATATTAAACTTTACGGATTAAGAATGGGATGTCACTTAAGTTCATATGCGACTCAAGGCAGGTGAGTGAATATATACATATATATACATCTGCACTTTATACTCTGCACTATTGCACTTCTGGTTAGATGCTAACTGCATTTTGTTGCCTTGTACTTGTACATGTGTAATGACGGTGAATCTAATCTAATCACTACTATATTATTGTGCTTGACTGGGCAGCCAACTCGCCTGACCTGAACCCTGTACAACCCCATGTGGGGTATTAGGTGTTAGGAGGAAGATAAGAAACACCAGACCCAAAAATATAGACAAGCTATAACTATAAGCCATAATCATCAAAATTTCAGCAAGAAAAAAGCTTGAAATATTTCATTTTATGCATAATGAATATAGAGTATATGAAAGTTTATCCTTTTTTTTCTTTTAATAAATGTTAAAAAAAAAAAAAATCTTAATGTCCTGAATTGCATTGAGATGCACTTGCACATGCAAAACGTGAATTGTTTTGAATAGATTTTCTCTCATTTACATCTAAAATGAGAAAAAATATAAATTTGTATTGGTACTGTATTTTCCAAATTCTGAAAACCTAACCTTGAACATCAGAAACAACAACTGTCTTCAGCTTCTTTTTACTGAAATGAAACATTCTTTATTTTAGTCTCTTCACCACATACAGTCATGGAAAAAATTATTAGACCACTGTTGTTTTTTTCAATTTCTTATTCATTTGAATGCCTGGTACAACTGAAGGTACATTGGTTTAGACAAATATAATGATAACAACAAAAATAGCTCATAAGAGTTTCATTTAAGAGCTGACATCTAACCATTTCCCATGGTTTCCTTGATAATAACTAAAATCACTTAACCCTCCTGTTATGTTGCGGGTCAAATTGACCTGCTTAAATTTTTACATTTTTTTTTAAATAGTTAAAAGTGTTTTCTTTTTTTTTAAATTATGAAACTTCCTCTGCTTGGCTAAATAGGTGTCATCAACATATAAAGTGAAAATTTCTCATTTGACATATTTATGCCCCATGTTATATTTAGTAAGTTACTTGGTCATGCATGAACAATGACAGACAGAAATATAGTTTCATAGCTGAAAAAAATACTTTTAACCCTATGATGCGCAACATGGGTCCAAACGGACCCAACAGAGTTTTTTTGTGCTACATCGTAGCAATAAATTAATTTCATCATTCAGTATTCCAGGTATTCCTCAATTAACTTGTTTTTGATCACAATACATCCTTCTTTCATTTTTTCATTTCTTACTTTTTAAGTAAAAAAATGTCACTACCCCTCTAATGCACAACATGGGTCCAAACGGACCCGCATTCATTTACTATGCTATTTTATGTATGGCTGAGTGTTTCTAGCCTATATCTTTGAAATGAATGTGTTTTATCATTTAGTACTTCAGGTATTCAGTAAATATTCTTGTTTTTGTTTAGCACAGATCATCATATTTATATATCCTTGCTTGCTTTATGAGCTAGCATAGCTTTTGTATGTCTACATCAAGTTTACACACATGGGTGGTGGGATCCTCTGAAATGTTTACATGTTTGCAATTAGGAAAGTGTTTACTGTGGACAACTATTCACCTGCCACACATTTCACAGATCATCACAGCTCCCTTTGTATATCTGATATCTACAAGTCTTGTTTTATAATTATTCTAATCTTACCGAAGAAAGCATTTGATGATGTGAAAGATAACTGAGTATAATAACTGATTGGGTGTAAGTTACCTTGAGAATAAGTACACTAGTTGTCAGAAAGGGAAATATTTTCAATACTATTAGCTAGATAGCTGTTGACATATTCTGTTGCTGTTAGCTTAGCTATCTTAGGAAAGTCACAAAATAAAACTCAAACTAATGTAACAGTTGACAGGTCCAGGCACCAGAAATGCCTCCAAGTGATAATACACCTGGCCTGGCTCTTTGGCAACATGGTTAACCCAAATGACTCATACTTGAGAGGCTGGGATTTGAAACCTGTCCAGGGCTGCCACACCAGAAATGTATACTGATGTGCATTTGAAATATTTTGTGCTTTTGATTGTCTGTATTCAGAGATTTTGCAGATTACTGCTTAAATGGTTGTGGAGATGCTGCATGAGGGACCAGATGATAAAGATGAGTAGGCAATTGGTTCTGATTCTGAGTCTGAATTCTCTGGTGATGATGACCCAGTCTATGGGCCTCAGGGTCAAGCTGGACTTTTGGGTGTGTCTTCGAATCCAGCTCTCCTGAATGAAGAAGACTTCTCTGATAACAGAAGACTCATCTGATGAGTCTTCTGAAGAGGAAACTCAGACCCAGTCAAATAGATTGAGTAAAAACAGGTCTTAGTGGAATGAGAACGCTCACACACAGGGCAATACATGACGCCATAACATTGTGAGGAGCTGCCCAGGACCTACACCTGGATCAGCAGCTGTTCCACTAAAAGATGCCTGGTATATGTTCATCAGTGACAACATCACTGAGGAGTTTCTACAGCAAAACAAAAGCAGGAGTGAACACAATGGATCAGATTGTTAGCAC